CCCTGTGCTGAGCCCAGGGCCCTATGACACAACTCAGCTATGGCCCAGCGCCGCGGGGTCAACCCAGCCGGTCCCCCGTCTCCACCTGGAAAACCTGAGGAGAGCCCCAGCCTCGCCCCAAATGTGTCCCCCTGGGCAGGTGCTGGCCCAGCCAGGATCCGGTGTAAAAGCTCAGAAAAACAGATGTGGGTGTTTGTGCCTGGGGTGAATACGCGGGTCTGTTTGCAGGGTTAGGTTGCGCCTGGTGCTCTCTCTGGTCCCCTGGGAGCATCCCTCTAACTCCGGGCCTGGGATGAACCGTACTGTGCTCGGGAGGGAGAGGAGGAAGGGAGATGCTTCCAGTTTCCAAGGAGGCTGGGAATGGGGGACAGAGGTGGGCGGGTGGGGTCGGGGCCCTTGTGGGCCTGTGGCTGACCTCACCCCCACCACCAGGATGGGGACACAGAAAGCTTCAGTTCTAGGGCTGAAGGAGGCGGCAGCTGCAGCCCCAGACCCAGATGCCTCTGGGCATGTGAGTGCAGTGGCCTGTGTGGCCCTTCTGTCTCAAGTCTGGTGCCTGCGGGGCTGGGTCCACACGGCAGGGCAGGAAGTGCTCCCTCCCCTCCCCTCCCTCCTCCCAGCTCTCCTTCATCCCGTGCTTCCTGTTTCCTCTCACTTCCTCTGCTCCCACCTCCGTGCTATCCCTCCTATCCCGCTGCTCTTCTGTCCTGGTCCTTCCCTCCCGTGGCCTTCGCCTCCTCCCTCCCCACCACCTGCGATGCCAGCCACAAGGCAATTATGAAGTTGAAGGGTGGCTTCTCTGGCGACATGTGGCTTTCATGCTGCCTGCACACACAACTTTGCTTTACTTAAACATGGAAGGCACAACAGGTAAAGGACATGATGGGAAGAATAAGCAGGATCAGAACGCGGAGAGTGTGCCAGCCCAGCAGAGTAGGAGAGGATAGTCAGGAGGGAGGACAGCTCCAAGGGGACGGGCGTACGGTCTGTATTTTCCAGCTCAGCCCTTGCCAGCATCTCCCTAAAAGTGGCTCTCCACCGGCCTTCCACCCTGGCCCGAGCCTGTGGTCACAGGCAGGCAACGGCAGGGGTTGTCCCTGGGCTCTGGCACCAGCAGCATTCATTTCAAAGCGCCATATCCTCCTCCAGCTGGAGTGCACCCAGGACACCCCTTCCTGCCCAGGGCTCTGTCTGATTCCTGCTCTCTTCTGGCGGGATCCTGGCCCCCAGACAGGTCTCCCCTCCAAGACTGATGGGCTCCTGGCTGTGGCCTGGGCCAGGGAGGGGAGTGAAAGTGGCCCTTCCAAGCTCCCTCCTGGCGGCAGGTGTAAGTCCCCCTCTCCTGGGAGACTGCATTTGGTGAGGTGGGCTCCAAGCTGGTGGGTGCCTGCCCCTCCCGCTCCTCATCACGCCTCACCGGACCCCAGGTTTGCAGATGAGGAAACGGAGGTCCAGAGAGTGGAGGCAGCTTGCCCCAAGTCTCACAGGCTTGCTTTGGACTCAGCTCGTGAGTGAGAGAGGCTGTCAGGCTGGGGACAGAGATGGGTGTCTAGTCGACCCCAGGAAAAACTCAGGGAGCTGAGTCCTTGGGGACCCCAGCAGAGATATCCAGCCATTCTGTCTTGTAATTGTCAGACCACTGATGCCTTCACTCCACATTTACTGAGCACCAGCTGCGGTCCTAGGCTCTCATGGGATAAACTGCTCTCCCTGCCCTGGAGGAAAGCCTCTCCTCCACTAGCGGAACTAGGAGGGTCCCAGGAATGGCCTCAGCCCCCAGGACAGCCGACCCCCTTCTCCATGCCCCAGCTCAGCACCAGTGCACTGTCTGTGGAAGATCTGATTTTCATGCTCTGCGAGAGGGTGGGGCTCCGGGAAGGGGGCTCTGAAGCAGATCCCTGCCTCATCAGCTCTGGCCATCCAGTCTGTGGCTACTCTCATAGACTGCAGAGCTCCTACTCTCGGACTTGCTATGGCTCCCCACTGCCCACAGGGCAGAGCCTGAATTCCCTAGTCTGGCATTTAAGGCTGAACTGAGACTGGACCCAGCTTGCTGCTGTTCTGCTGAGGTCTACCTAAGGGCGCAGCTGCCCACCTTCCGCTGTACCTTTGCAGACTCTGGTCTCGCAGCTCCTTGGTGGCACCCTCCAGGCAGCCTTCCCTTCCCTCTGGCACTTTGTACTAGCTAGTTACAAGTTTGTCCTCTGACTTCCAACTGCTGGGGGCAAGACTCATGTCAGATTCAGCTCTGTGGCCCCAACCCAGAGCGCCATGGTCCCCAGTGTTTGCTGAATGAATGAGCAAGCAATCCCGGCAATGAAGAGCAACACTTCAGATCTGGACCTAAACCACACCTCCTTGGTGAGGGCTTCCTGGTGACAGTCAGCTCCCAACCTGACACCCCATATCCTCTTGCCGCGCCATCCCCATTCAGCATATGCCCTGTCTTGCTATTTGTTGAATGTTGTCTTCATGAGGGAAGGCGGAGATCTCAGCATTTTCTCCGGGACTGTGTTCCCATTGTCCAGGGCATTGCTGGGCACGTAGCAGGCGCTCAGGAACGGTTTGTCGAATGAATGAAGGAGTGACTGCACAAATGCACCCAGTGGCCTGCAGCAGGGAGGGTGGGAGGGGGGTGCCGTGGCTGGCATGCCTCGACAGCAGCCCTTCTTGCCTTTGCAGCCCACCCTCCCGTGGAGCTGGAAACTGCACCCTGGGTGCCATGCAGAAGGCAGGGCCTGGGGGCCGCAGGGCCTCTGACTGCGGGCCGGTCTCCTACCGGCCCAGGTGCATCACCAAGTTTGCCCAGGTGAGTGACAGGTGCTGGGAGTCGAGGACCTGTTTCTGGTCTCCCTGCCTGGGCCCGGGTATGTGCGTATGTGTGCAGGGGAGAGGCAGTGGCACGGCAGAGGGCGGGAGAGGCTGGGCCGAGGCCACCCCCTGGCAAGCAGCAGAGCCTGGCCTCTGGAGGGTCATGCTCTGTCACTGTCCATGGCCTGCTTGGCCATGTGCTTGGGGGGGATTTGCAGGACAGGAGTCAGAAACCACGAGCCTGACTCCTCTGCCTCGCTCCCTCCCTTTCCACCCGAGCAGTACGTGGGCTCCTTCCCCGTGGATGACCTGGACACACAGGAGAGCGTGTGGTTGGTGCAGCAGCAGCTGTGGGCACTGAAGGTGGGTGGGCTGCGGGGTGGGGGGGTGTTTCCCTGGCAGAGATCACAGCCTTGGGGTGACCCCCAAGACCAGATCGAGCCCTCCTGGGTAGAGGTGCATGGCTGTGACTGTGAGGCCCAGGGCAGGCAGGACCGAGCCCTCTGGGAGGGGTGCCCAGCCAGATCGCACAGCCAGGCTCCCAGAGCCTCTTCCTGACACCCAGGGTCCTCCCCAAGCTGTGGCAACCTGTGCCCACAACCAGAAGTCACAGGTGATGTGGCCAATGGTCATAATGTGGCCAGTGCTGGGCCTTGGCTGAGGTGTTCTGCCAGGAGCCGTCCACCACCTGGGGTCCGTGGTCCTGGGCTTTGTCCCTGGCAGGGGTGGTGGAATTGGCTGACCAGCCCTTGGTGGGCAGGGCTAGGCTGGGCAGGCCAGGGCAGGACCTGGGAGGTGATGCCTGCCCCCAACTCTCTTCCACCCAGGACTGTCCCCGACGCCGGGCCGTCATCCTAAAGTTCAGCCTCCAGGGTCTCAAGATCTACAGCGGGGAGGGTGAGGTAGGAGCCCAGGCCGGCACATATGAGGGTGGAATAGGGCCAGGGGTCTCCCTCCAGATATGCCCTCCTTCCCCTGGTCCTGGCTTCAATGCAGCCCCATGTTCCTTTGAGTCTCTCTGGCATACCTGTCTGCTCTCGGCCTTTGGGCGTTCTCTCCCAGGACCAGCTCAAGCAGCAGCTCCTCACCCCCAGCCCCTAGACCTCCTCTGGGGCCTCCCCTTGGCCTGAGCTTCAAGAGTGTTCAGTCCTGCGGGACTCTTGCAGGTGCTCAGCCCAGCCTTGGCTGGCGGGTTGTGACCAGCCTCTCACGGCCTTGGCAGGCATCAGACTCAGGCTGAAGCCCCTGCTTGGCCACCCTCCTCCCCTTCGTCCCCCACCTGGGGCGAGCCAATGGTGGGTGGATGTGAACTGTGTGCCATGCTGGGCACCCCACAGCTGTGGGGATTTCCCACCTAAGACCCTGCTACATGTGGGCCATGTGCACCAGGTCTCACTGACCCCCACCGACAGCCCTAGCAGAGAGATACTGGCATTCCCCACACTTGACACATCACTACAGGGCTCTGGGGATGCCATGCACCTACCCAAGTCACACAGAGAATAAGTGGCAGAGCCAGGATTAGAATCCCGGTCACCTGCCTCCCGAGACCAGGTGTAACTCCTGCGCTTGCTGCACTGCCGTTCTGTGTCCCCAGCCGGCTGTGCATGCCCTGCCCCTCAGTGCCATAGAGTAGGTGGGGGTGATGACCCACGCCCTGGGCCATGGTGGGGATGGGGCGGGCCCAGGAGGAGGGAAGATTCCTCTGCCCCCAAAGTGGGTGGCCCTGAGTGGAGCGGGCAGGCGGAAAGCAGGTGTGAGCTGGCTGCCGCAGGCAGGTGGTGGGTCCGATGGCCTCTGCTGCCTCCCCAGGTGCTGCTGATGGCCCATGCGCTGAGTCGCGTCCTCTACTCCACCTGGTGCCCCACTGACTGCCAGTTTGCCTTCATTGCCCGGAACCCGCGGAGCCCAGCCAGCAAGCTCTTCTGCCACCTCTTTGTGGGCAGCCAGCCTGGAGAGGTATCAGGGGCCCGCCCTGAAGCTGGAGTGGTTGTGCTGGGCATTGCAACAGTCTCCTCAGGGCCGAGCCCTGGTGGCCTGAGCCCCTTCCAGGCACACCCCCCCCATTGTCGCACTGGCACCTTCTGTGGCTCTGGCCTCTGCCAATACCACAAAGCAAGTCAGTGACCTCAGCATGGCCTGGGGGGTGGGAATCTGGCCCATGCACTTAGAGATTGGAGGCTCTTAGAGACTGGTGGCTCACACCTGTAATCCCAGCGCTTTGGGAGACTGAGGTGGGAGGATTGCTTGACCAACCTGGGCAACCTAGTGAGAATCCCATCTCTACAAAAAGTAAAACGTTAGCCAAGCATGGTGGCACGCACCTGTAGTCCCAGCTGCTCAGGAGTTTGAGGCAGGAGGACTATGTGAGCCCAGGAGTTGGAGGCTGCAGTGAGCTATAATTGCACCACTGCACTTCAGCTGGGGTAACAGAACAAGACCCCATCTCAAAAAAAAAAAAAAAAAAAGGAGATTGGAGGGTCACGCCACTGCTCGTGCTATTCTCTCTGTCTGAAATGCCCTCCTCTTCTCAACCTGGCAGATTCCAACTTGTCTTTAAAGGCTCAGCAAGTCTCAGCCCACATGTCCAAACCTCACCTTGACCCCTCTGGACTGTCCCTTCCTGGGGTTCTGTGACATGAACCGCACTCCATTGCAGGCATGAATTTTTCCTGGGGTTCTGTGACATGAACCGCACCTAATTGCAGGCATGAATTTTTTTGAGAGCAGAGCCCTGGTCTAGGCCTTGAAATGCTCCCATGCCGGGCCTGAGCATCAGGTGGGGATGAGGGTGGTGGGTAGATCAGGAGGTCAAAGCTGGCATGGCTGTGGGGAGGGACACAGCCTGTATGTCATCCTGTGCCAGATACGGGAGTGACAGGTGGCTGAGACATGGTCCCTGATCTTCTGAAACTCATGTTCTGCCGTGCTGTGTCTGGGTGGCAGGTAGAATGTGCTGCCCCAGACAATACTGGGTCTCCACTGGGAGCTTTCAATGATCCACTTCATTAACTCCTCAAAGGAGCACAGAGAGGTCATATGAGATCATGCAGCAGCTCCTAGGCGACAGAGCTGGGATGAGAACCTAGGTTCTGACTCCAGAGCCCAGGCTCTTAGCCACTCCTCTAAGAGGGTCGTGACAGCACACTGGGTGGGAGCAGCAAACATCAAGGTAGGAGTGCACGTAGTCCATGGCTACAGTCTCTGTTCCAAGCATGATGCCTGGCATAAAGTAGGTGCACAGGATTTGTTAAGTAAAGGAAGCTGGGAGAGAGGGTTGCATGGTGGGTGAGGTTTTGAGGGATAAGTAGGAGTTCTCCCAGGAAGAATGGGGAAGAGCTTCTGAAGCCAAGGGACCGTGGGCATCCATGGAGAGTGGATCGATGCCTGGAGACCTCCTCCAGCTGAGCCACCTTCCTCCACCCAGGTCCACATCCTGCACCTGCTACTCTGCCGTTCCTTCCAGCTGGCTTACCTCATGCAGCACCCTGAGGAGAGGGCCCAGCCTGAGGCCTGCCCGGGTCCTGCAGGGGACGTGCCCCTGAAGCCTCTGTCCAGACCTGGGGAGCCCCCTGGCCTGGTGCGGGAGCCCTTCAGCCGTGATCAGCTCTCACAGAACGTCCATGCCCTGGTCTCCTTCCGGCGGCTGCCCACGGAGGGCCCAGTGGGCAGTGGGGTAGGTGGCCAGGGAGTGGGCAGTGGACAAGGGACCTGGGTGAGAGGTTGGGGGGCACTCGGGGGGGGGCTTCGCCTAGCCCGACATGGCTGGGCCTGAGTCTGCCTGTCTGCGGGACCCCTTGGTGCCCTAGAGGGAGCTGTCCGAGTCAGAAAGCCGCGCCCGCCACACCCGCCTGGGGAATCCCTACTGCTCGCCCACACTGGTGCGCAAGAAGGCCATTCGCAGCAAGGTGATTCGCTCCGGGGCCTACCGAGGCTGCACCTACGAGAGCCAGCTGCAGCTGTCAGCTCGGGAGGCCTGTGAGTTGTGGGTGCTCGCAGGCCCCGTGTGCGCCTGTGCCGGGCCAAAAGTGTGGGCGCCAGTGTTTGCTCCTGCAAGGCTGTGGCTGTACCTCCCGGCAGGTGCCCGTGCACTGAGTGTGCATTGGGCTGTGCCCGAGGGCCAGCACGTGTGACCGCATGCTGCTGTGTGGACTGGAGAGTGGAGCTGTGTCTGTTGGGGGTCGGGGGGAGCCTGTTGGGCAGAGCGGGGAGGCTTGGGGAGGGGCCACACATGAAGGCGATGGGGCCCCGGGCTGGGCCTGGGAGGGCTTGGCTGCTCTCCCTCTAACCCCCGCTGGTCTCCGTAGTTCCTGCCGCATGGGAGGCGTGGCCCCGGGGTCCTGGTGGTCCCTCTTGCCTGGTGGAGAGTGAAGGCAGCCTGACAGAGAACATCTGGGCCTTTGCTGGCATCTCCAGGTAGGAGGCCTGGCCTGGCCTGAAGCCCCGTCCCTCGGGGCGGGCAGAGAGATGAGGTGTGTGCATCCTCAGGGCCCTTGGGCGCACACTCCTGGGCACTGACAGGGTGCTCCCAACCTCGGTGACGTCATGGCCCTGGGCCTCAGTTTTCCCAAGTGTAAAATGGGAATAATGAAAAGCGCTTCCCTGCAAGGCTGTGGATTGGGTCAGATGAGATGATTCTGCTGCAGCCCTCAGCCCCTGGCCTGTCCTGGCTCAGGCTCCCCGTGAGTGGGCACTTCAGCCCTTTCCCCTGATGGGGTCTTGAAGTTGTCAACAACCCGGGACCTCATGGAAGCTTGGAAACTTTTCAGAGCTTCCTCTGTTGAGCGGCTTCTTGGGTCAGGCGCGGTGTCTTTAGGGGCATTTCATCCTCAGGCCCCCTCCATGCTGTTGGGGGTATTGTGTCCATCACCCAGGGAGCAACTCAAGGCCGGGTCCAGGCTGGGAGTCCCGTCTTCAGCCCCTCCCCTTTGCACCCCAGGCCCTGCGCCCTTGCCCTGCTGCGGAGAGACGTGCTCGGCGCCTTCCTGCTGTGGCCTGAGCCGGGCGCCAGCGGCCAGTGGCGCCTGTCGGTGCGCACACAATGCGGCGTGGTGCCCCACCAGGTCTTCCGAAACCACCTGGGCCGCTACAGCATCGAGGTGAGAGGCGGTCTGAGGGGCCCCGCCCCCTGTCCTTCAATGCCCCGCCCTTTTCTAGCCGTGGCCTGTCTTGTCCTGGTCCCCCTTGCTCTCTCTGGCTCCGCCCCCTATCCAATCCCATCCCGCCTCCTCTCTGCCCCTTTCTCATTGGCCCCGCTGGCCTCGCCACCCACTTGGCCCTGCCTCTGCCCACAACTCCGACCTGATCCAGACTGTTGGAGGACAAAAGAGGTGCCCCCCCACGAAGCGGCTTTTGGAGGGTGCCTTTAATGGAGTCTGGGGCCAGGGTCGTGCCTCACATTTCTGTAAGGGTCCTGGCTTTTGAAAGTTTTGCTTTCAGCCGCGCAGTGATTCATGTCTCTAATCCCAGCACTTTGGGAGGCCAAGATGGGAGAGACTCTTGAGCCCAGGAGTTCGAGACCAATCTGGGCAACATAGGGAGACCTTATCTCTACCAAAAAAAAAAAAATCAAAAATTAGCCGGACATCGTGGCGTGCACCTGTAGTTCCAGCTACTCTGGAGGCTGGAGCAAAAGGATCGCCTGAGCCCGGGAGGTCAAAGCTGTGGTGAGCCTGATCCTGCCACTTCACTCCAGTCTGAGTGATAGAGTGAGGCCCCACTCAAAAAAAAAAAAAAAAAAATAAGCCTTGCTTTCCCACACCTTAGGCTGCCTTAGCAGAGAAGGAAACTGACTCAGAGGGCAGGGGCCTCCCTAAGCTCATACAGCCTCTACCCTTGGTCTGGAGTCTTGTCCAGCCCCCAGGTTTTCAGGGCGCGGGAGGGCGTGGCAAGGCCTTTCCCTTGTGCGCCCTTACTTCCAAGCTGCACATCTCAGTCCTGACCAGGCTGGGAAGAGAGAGAAGAAAGGGTGGGTGCCTGGATCTCTTGGCTCTGTCTCCTGCTCTCTAAAGTGGGTGGGTCCTGCGGAGGGTTGCAGCCCGGCCGGATGTGAGCCATGGGGAGGGGCTTGGAGCTGAAGCCCCTTCCTCCCCTAGCACCTGCCAGCAGAGTTCCCCAGCCTGGAGGCCCTGGTGGAGAACCACGCCATCACTGAGCGCAGCCTCTTCTGCCCCCTGGACATGGGCCGCCTGAACCCCGCCTATGAGGAGCAGGACCGCGGGCCTCCCCGGACTCTCAGGCCCCTCAGCCACGCCAAGTCTGAAGCTGAACTGCAGGGCCTGGGCTAGGAGGCTGAACCGCCTCCCCCTGGCTGTTTCCTGGGCCCCAGCGGCCCCTCCCCCCTTCCTGACCCTGCTGGTCACCAGCTCCATCCAGTCACCCCGCCCTTCAGACCAGTCTTCCATCACTTCACGGCTATAGGAGGCGAGCCCTAATTGGGGATTGCCAGTGGCTTCTGAAAGAACCGGGGGCCCGCCGAGATTCCAGGAGGGGCAGGCACAGCTCCAGACTTCGGATAACACACTGGATGGCTTTGGACATGGGTCATTTCTGGGTTTCCGCTTCACTCCTCGGGTGGGAGCTTGTTCATGATAGAGGTGCAGCCCTCTCCCAGGAGACCAGGCCTTGGGGTCCTGACAGGGTGTCTCCGGAGAGCTCCCGACAGCGGAGACAGACAAAGGAGGGGCTTGGAGAGAGGCTGCGGAGCCTGTGGGCAGGAGCCAGGGCCGAGCCACGTCGGACTGGCAGGCAGAGCAGCCTGTTTCCCGTGCGCATCTGAGGGTGAAGAAGTCTTGCCTGAGTTCTGAGCACTGGAGGGTTAGGAAGGTGCAGAAAGGGCAGGAGGAACAAAGAGTTGTGCCACCAGGGCCCACACGCAGGCGGACATCGTGTGCAGGAAGGGACATCCGTGACCATCAGGTGAAGGACGAAGACTCTCATGTGTTGTCTCCACTCAAAGCCGCAGGGCTGTGGTTCCCATTTTTCCTTAAGAAGAGATGCCCCAGGCTTGGCCCTCCCCGCATTCCCCCCGAGAATCACCAAGACAGCCCAGGCTCACGGCCTCTAGCCATTGACAGGGAGGAGCCAGCCAGGAGCCACAGGCTTAGAGGGGCGACCACGGCCCTGTCTAACTCTCCCGCAGAGCATGGACAGCTTGGTGGCTGCCTAGGGAGGCCACCTGATACTGGCATTTCCCTTCACGTGGCTCTGACCGTGGTGCTCAGGGGCCACTTTGCCTCACTGGGCCAGTCCTGTCGGGAGTGGGGTCAGCAGAGCCCTCCAAAGGAGGAACCATGTGGGCCCTGACAGAGAGGTGTGGCTTCAGCGGGCACATGGACAACGGGGAACAATTCTAGTCTAAGGCTGCGGCCCTGCTAGTGACTGGCAAGCCCAGGTGACCCCCTTTGTAAGTAAACTTGACAAGTGCAAATCTACCAAACCGGGTTATAGAATAGTCCATCTGGAAGGGCTTCTCTTGCTCAGGCAGAGGCCTGGTCATGAGTCGGGGCTGCCCTCTCCCCCATCTAGGAGTGGGATGGAACTGTTCACGGCCTTGAAAGTGACAGATTTCTGCCCCCTGGAAGGACAAGGGCAGCCCCAGCCAAGCAGAAGGAAGGGAGGAGCTTGGAGAGAGAGAGAAGCCAGACTCCTCAGGCTCAGGCCCTATGGCAGGGGCAGGATCTTGGCTCCAGAACTAGTCACTTTCTCAAAAGTCAAGTGAGCTGTCCTGTTACAAAGGAGAAAAAGAAACTGCCCTTTGAGGGCTCTTTTCACTGGAAACCCTGCACTGGGGTTATGCTCAATGTGAGCAGGGAGCTGGGACTCTTTTACGGCCAGACCCTACTGGCATTGTCCCTTCCTGGTCCCTAATGGGAGGCCCAGCCTCACATTCCCCTGGCAAGGAGAGGGGTTTAGTGACACTGAGCCTAGGAGCATAGTTCTGGAGACGTGCTTTCAAGGAGACCTGGGGATTGGCCCAGAGGCGGGCCATGGCTCACCCCCGTGCACAATGGGTTTTACCTGAGTGACCTGTGTGAACAAGGTGTCAGGGGAATATCATGCATCCTGAAGGGACCAGTCATCCCCCAGCTCCAGAACATTCCTTCAGATGGCATTTACTGATCACATGTTACAAACAGGGTAAGGTTTGGGCCTGTGTTTGCAGACTCTGTAATGTCGTAATTAGATGCCACAGTTTTCTCTCTCTTCCAATCAACATACCTTGGCAGCTCAGCTTTCCTTACTGTGTGGACTTAAATAAAATGTGTTTCTTCAGATTGTCTGCTACAGACTTGGCTTTCCTTTGAAAGGCAAGATCTTTGTCAGCTTGCTTGTTTTGTTTCTGTTCTCCAAACATATCTTCAGCTGGTGCTAAATGATGAGCTGGACAGGGGCCCTGGCCTCATGAGCTCAGAATGTCCTGAAGGAATTGGGTAGATGTGTGCTCCTCTTCTGCTGTAACCGCCGGCAGGTATGACCTGTAGGAGAAAGACTCAAGTCCTTCTGCTCTCACAGCCTGGGCTTGTTTCTGCTCCTGTAGCATACCCCAGGACCTTTACACAGCCCAGACAGGTTTCCTCATCCCCTCTCTTGACCGTCATATTTCCTTGTCCCCTCAGCCATCATATTAAGGTAACAGCTCAGGATACCCTGGCGCCCTGGGTTCCCCTTCTGGATGTTCCATGCCCTGATCCTTTCCTTTGTAATGACTCTTTTGTGGATGGGTTTTGTGAGATTTTTGACTCCAGTGTCAGTCTCCCCCGCAGACTGTGGGCCCCAGGAAGGCTGTCTCCCAGCATCTGTCACAGTGCCTGGCACGCGTAGCTGACAGTGATTCTGTGCAAGGGGCGCCCAGAGGCGTAACAGCTGCTCTGCTGGCTGGAGGACTCGTGCTAAGCCAGGAGGGATGGGCCAGGTGGCCTCTCCAAGCAAAAGACGCCGCTCCTGAGGTCTTTGTTGTAAAATCTCGCGTCTTAGAAAAAGCGAAGGTGGTATCCGTGGAAGCTGTCTGGGGTCTGTGGGTTCTGGGCAGCCTTCCTGGAGTCTGTACAGGGCTAGGGAGGGAGGACAGCTTCCTCCGCGGGCTTCCAAGCCCCGCGTGAGGTCTCCCCTCCCGGACCTCTCTAGCCCCGAGGCGGAGTCAAGCCCGGGCCCCCTGTCTTCGCCGAGCAGCCTCGGGCCAGTCGCTCAACCTCTCCGGACCCAGGCTCCGAGGAGTCGAGAGGACGCCGGGCGGTCGGCGCGCGGCTCGGGGGCGGGGCGCGGGGGCCGCGG